GGTGCAAAACTTTAAAACAGAGTAAAATATTCATTAATTTGTAATGAATTGAGTTTTCTTTCTTTTGATTTTCAACATACTATTTGTACACAATAACTTTTCCATATTTCTGACAAACTATACTTTTTTGACTTTTTCCGTAAAATCTTGACAAACTATTACTTATTCTTAAATGTTGACCTATTGCTGCTTGGTTGGAGATGATAGATGAAAAAGTTACAACGCTTAAAGAACTTTTTAAAAAAAAAAACTCAATTCTATAAATGACTCCCCCCATTCAACGCAATAAGCCCCACCCTCCACTCAGCAAATCATCTAAAACGAAGGACCCCACTAAGACGACCGTTGTAAACTAGCCATGGATCTGAGAAAAACCAAGACTCCCCCCGCGAGTTGCAGCCAGGAACAGACTCCTGGACTACCATCATCACCACCATTTTGGACACCCGAATCTTGCAATACTACTGCTGCGGATTTTGCTCCTTGGGCCAAAACGTCTCTGTTTATGGACACAGTGAAATCGGTGTTGGTTGATATTGTGGAGAGGGTGATGCATCGGTACAGAGAAGAAATCTGCAACGGGTGCCGAGTCAGTCAGTCAGTCAGTTGCCAGAGGCAACACGATTTTCTGAATGACATGCCCGATTTTTTCTTCAGAAACAATTACAACGCGTTAATGAAAAGACTCTGGCTCACCGACTTCATTACTGAGATCGACCAGACTCTTATTGATAAAGACATTTTCACGGATGATTGGAGGATCCAAGGCGCTTCGGAGGCTTTTCTTCACAATCTCAAAAATTGCAGACGCCTCAAGGAGAGACTTGAAAAGTTCCATGCCGAGTTGGATGGAGAAGAAGAAGCCTAATAACCAGCAGTTGACTGAAGCCATTGACTTTTTTTTCTTTAAAGTAAAATAAAAATGGGAAACTACTATGCAAAACGCTCTGTATATATTGATCAGAATGTAGTCAATACCCTTTTAATAAGTGTGGTGATGAGGACGATTGAAAACAGAACGAGTAGTGACCCCCGTGTAAAAAGAATGGCTGAAGTTTGTAAACTGGAAGACATTTTGGATATTGTTCGTTCTGGCAGTACTATTCCGGGTCATTGGGAAACGATTGTAAACGAAACATTTAAAGTGGTCCTGGAATCTTCATTTTCCGAAACATTCTGTAACATTATCTCAGAAATGAAACATCAAAAGTGTATCATGTGCTCTCATTGTATGCTCTGTTTGTAGATGTAATGCATCTTTGTGTCGAAAACAGCATACACATGAATATTCTGACTGAAGTGAAAAAACTCCATCACGATATTTCCAGTAATATGGGGAATTCTAAGCTGGAGACGGTCCTGCGGATGTTGCAATCAGTATAACTATTGATTTTGTGTGTGGGAAAAAAAAGTGGTTTTTTTACATTTAAAAACTGTTGTCTTCATTATAGCAAGGGGAGCGTGTCTGATACATGTGTATTACAGTCCTTCTTTTTGTGTTTTTCAGTGTGTCTGTACACACAAAGCACAAATCATTTAAAACAAACCCTGAATCAAATTTAGAGAGGACCATTAAGAGTCAGATTCTTGATGAAATCTACTAAAACAAAGTACTTCATTATCTACTTTTATACACAAAAGTGTATCTTTCAGTAACTTTTCTCAGAGAATTTAAGCATAAATCTGTCAAAATGTTCAAAACAGCCTTGTTTCACTGAAATAGCCTCAAAATGACATTAAGAGTCAGATGTTTGGCAGAATCTAATAAAACAGAGTACTTTCCTGATAGTGGTCAGCTTTTAAAAAGAAAAGTGTATCTTTCGGTAACTTTTTGAGAGAATTAAGCATAAATCTGTCAATTGTTCAAAACAACCTTGTTTCACTGAAATAGCCTCAAAATCACAAACTGGCTGAAACTGTACAGTGAATTGGAGAAATTACAGCACATAGTTTTCTACTACAACACAGATAGTATAATGTGACAAGACAGGGGCAGACTCCACTGCCCATGGGGATTTATCTGGGGGATCCCTAAAAGTTATGCTTACAAGACCAAAAATCTAAAAAGATGCTTTTGTGTAATCACTTTCACACGCATCTTTTTTTATCTGGAAAGTCCCACATGGCAGCTTTACTTTGGAGCACCCCTTGCAGGGGTTCAGCCTGCTGAGGCTTGGCCTGTTGGGGATGTGAAGGATAGGAACACTGCATGGGTTTTGGCTGGTACCTAGACAGCAGGGGACTTGAAGGGTTGGTAGCCCGCTGGGGATTCAAAGGGTAGGCTGGCTGGTAGGGCTTGGCCTGCTGAGGATTTGAAGGCTGGTAGGGCTTGGCCTGCTGAGGATTTGAAGGGTATGAAGGCCAGTAGGGCTTGGCCTGCTGAGGATTTGAAGGCTGGTAGGGCTTGGCCTGCTGAGAATTTGAAGGGTATTAAGGCCGGTAGGGCTTGGCCTGCTAAGGATTTGAAGGCTGGTAGGGCTTGGCCTGCTGAGGATTTGAAGGGTATGAAGGCTAGTAGGGCTTGGCCTGCTGAGGATTTGAAGGGTATGAAGGCTGGTAGGGCTTGGCCTGCTGAGGATTTGAAGGGTATGAAGGCTGGTAGGGCTTGGCCTGCTGAGGATTTGAAGGGTAGGAGGGCTGGTTGGGCTTGGTCTGCTGGGGTTTGGGCTGGTACCAAGACTTTTTTTAAAAGACAGCCTTAGAGGAAAATTATACATTTCAATTGCAGCTTGTGAACCATACATCCTTACCCTTTGCTTGCTGCCCAAAAGTCAAGAGTGAGATCACAAGAACTCTAAGAAAAGAGGAATTAAACATGAGCCAAACAAAAACAGTTAAGTAGAATAAATATAAGAAATCTGCCAAAATAAGAATATCTTACCTCACACACAATCCAAAACCCATTTTTGTTGTAAAACTGAAACCAAACAGTCTGTAAGCGGTGTGCAGCAAATACAAAAATAATCTATTATTTCAGATTCATGACTGCTGCAAAGACAGTGGTCCTTTTAAAGTGTCGTTTCATGAGCTGACCAATCATCGCACTGATGAAGTCATTGGAATCAGCTTGGGAACTCCGCCCTCTGGCAACCTGGGCAGGTGTCCACACTTTAGCTAATTTGACACATTTCAACATTTCATTCTGTCAGCAGATCTGATTCAAAAGTCAGTTTAACCAAATGATAACCTTTACCTGGCCGCTAGGCACAATTCCCCTGACAGGCGATAATAGTTTGATCGTAGTTTTGTTTTTGTTTATTGAGGTTTTGATTTAATTTTCCTCCTTCAATTCCACAGAGGTTTTAGTAAGACCCAGAAACTAAGACCTAAAAAGTGTAAGCTTTTGATCTTAAAACACTATGAAATGACAAGCTGTATTCAAATCAAACACATATATATATGTATACATATTAACATATGTTTAAGATTTAATTTATATATATGTTCCACTGCAAATAAGATATTGTTCTCTTCCACTGAAGTTGAGATCTTATGGGACCTTTTACCACTGTATGATTACTTAAAAACAAATGTTCTTGTGATTTGAAAATGATTTTGGAAGTGTTTTGGCTTATTGAAAACCACATATTTTATATCACTGCTTATAATTAGACTCAATTACTGTAAATGTTCTTTCCTCCAAGCAGCCATTGATTATAGGGCCCTATAAAAGTCACCTGCAGTGACTGAAAGCACTTTTAGGAGCACACTTATGGTTTCAGTAAAGAGAGACACAGCTGACAAAGACACAAACTATTTTATTAGCCATCATTCATGATACTGGTTTCACAAAAAATGTAATTCAAACAATGTTTCATTATTTTTTACATTACAAAGAAAATAAATTATTTCTATGTCCCAACATTTACCATTATTTCAATTGCTAGATATTTTAATATAAATATTATAGCAATATATAACATATTATATATATGAGCATAACACATGTAGATACATCATTCTTAAAACACCAACTGAGAGCCACTAATTGAGGCGATACTGCTAAAATAGGGAGGTAGAAGTAATGATTTAGACTGGAGTAAAAGAGTATAGTAAAAGATACACATTTAAATTGAAAAAGGAAATAATTTAGAACTGTACATAGAGAGAAGGAAGATGGAAAGAAGGATAGAGGAAAGAAAGAAAAAGCTGAGTTTGAGGCCGAGGCAGAGAGCCAGCCCGTTCTTCTGGATCTTTCCGTCTCCGTTGATGTCGCAGTGACCCATCAGAGCTTTCCTGAACTTGTCCAGGTCTGTGCCACTGATGCTGGGCTGGAGGAGAGGGTCGGGGGGTGGAAGAGTTACAGAGAGGTCAGAAGACTCCTGATGAATGACACTGACTGATATCTGATCAATAACATTGTGTATCAGCTCTGTATATAAGGGAATGTAAGGGCACCTTCACCAGCTCCATCATATCTTTGACAAATCCATCCACCTCAGGGCCCTCCAGCTCACCCGTCTTACTCTATAGAAGGAGGCATACTTTTTAATTCTCTCAGTGTTTGTTTTTGATTAACAGTTACACACATGCCTAACAGGACCTATACACATTAGGCCCGAAATACAAACATATGCATTATATGACATCAATTCAGCAGCATGGAATAAAGCATAAACTGCAATGTTTCTGAAGATGTTGTTTTAAGTGATACAAGTTTGTCATGTGTAGTCCAATAAACCTCATTAGGAGTCTGACACTTTGAAATAATATTGGACACTCATCCTTGAAAGTTCTCATAGCCTTTAAGTCATCAAACTTTCAAATGTTAAGTGAAGAACATTCTTAGTCAAGTCTTTTAAACTTGCTGGTCAATACATATATTTGCATACACATTACTGTGAGCTGCTGTTCACAATGTTATTGTACCTAGCCAGGAAAACAAACCCCTGAAGTTCAAAGGAAACAAGCAAGTGGTTGTGGACATGTTCAGGAAGTAAGGGTGCAGCACTGTCTACAGCACAGCACACAAGTCAAGTTTCAAATAACATCCAAAGAGAGTGTGTTCCAAGTATTTTATTAAATTCAAAGTTGATGCCAGTTCAGACTTCTTCCAGGCAAGTTCAGGAACCTGAGAACAGAAAATACAATTTAGAACATTTGCAAAGCATTTCCCTTACTTCATTGTAGCAATCTTTAAGTTAAACCAACTTACAGTTAGGAAGGTCAATGATGTCTGTTCTACACTGGCACCAGTTGCTGCGGCCACCTGGGCTGGTACGGGAATGGCATTGGAATTTCTCTCAAACTACTTGGGTCAAGATTCAAGTGCGAGTTTGAGTCAGTGGGCTGCACATTAGAGCCAGAAGCAACACTTCCTTGGGAAGGAAAGTTCCACATGCCAGCTTTACTTTGGAGCACCCATTGCAGGGGTTTGGCCTGCTGAGGGTTTGAAGGGTATGCAGGCTGGTAGGGCTTGGCCTGCTGGGGATTCGAAGGGTAGGAAGGCCGGTAGGGCTTGGCCTGCTGAGGATTTGAAGGGTAGGAAGGCTGCTGGGGTTTTGGCCGGTACCTAGACTGCAGGGGATTTGAAGGGTCGGCAGGCTGGTAGGGCTTGGCCTGCTGAGGATTCGAAGGGTATGAAGGCCGGTAGGGCTTGGCCTGCTGAGGATTTGAAGGGTAGGCAGGATGCTGGGGTTTGGGTTGGTACCGAGACTGCAGGGGACTTGAAGGGTTGGTAGCCCGCTGGGGATTCAAAGGGTTTGCTGGCTGGTAGGGCTTGGCCTGCACATTAGAGTCAGAAGAAACACTTCCTTCGGAAGGAAAGTACCACATGCCAGCTTTACTTTGGAGCACCCCTTGCAGGGGTTCGGTCTGCTGAGGCTTGGCCTGTTGAGGATTTGAATGGTAAGAAGGCTGCTGGGGTTTTGGCTGGTACCTAGACAGCAGGGGACTTGAAGGGTTGGTAGCCCGCTGGGGACTCGAAGGGTAGGCTGGCTGGTAGGGCTTGGCCTGCTGAGGATTTGAAGGGTATGAAGGCTGGTAGGGCTTGGCCTGCTGAGGATTTGAAGGGTATGAAGGCTGGTAGGGCTTGGCCTGCTGAGGATTTGAAGGGTAGGAGGGCTGGTTGGGCTTGGTCTGCTGGGGTTTGGGCTGGTACCAAGACTGCAGGGGATTTGAAGGGTTGGCGGCCTGCTGAGGTTTGGGCTGGTGGGGCTTAGGGTTGTAGCCGGCCTGCTGGGGCTTTGGACGGTTTTTGGGCTTCTGGGGCTTGGAGTAGGGACCAGAGTGCATCACAATTGCAGAACTTGAAGCAATACCAGACTGAAAATAGTTTGGATTATGGGGCAAAGGGAAAGCCCACGGGGCAGCTTTGCTTGGAAGGACACCATTTGCACTAGGGTTAGCTTGAGGTAGTTGGTTTGGCTTACGAATTATTTGTTGGCTTGGCCCGTAACTAGAAACACTTCCCTCAGGACTGTGACCACCTACTTGCCTTCCATGAGAGCCACTATAACCTCCTGCACTTGGTGCAGCAGCTGGCTTCAGAGTCTCAGATAAAGCCCCATCAGCATGAAAGGGTGAATAACTACCCAAAACCCTCTCAGGCTGTGCTGAACTATCATCACTGGAAGTGGAAGCGGGTTTAAGGCTTCTTGAAAAATCAAAGTGAGGTGTAATGCCACTGGAGCCTCCACTTCTGTAGCTGAGTGCTAAAAGGAGAACACATTTTTTAAAAGACAGCCTTAGAGGAAAATTATACATTTCAATTGCAGCTTGTGAACCATAAATCCTTACCCTTTGCTTGCTGCCCAAAAATCAAGAGTGAGATCACAAGAACTCTAAGAAAAGAGGAATTAAACATGAGCCAACCAAAAACAGTTAAGTAGAATAAATATAAGAAATCTGCCAAAATAAGAATATCTTACCTCACACACAATCCAAAACCCATTTTTGTTGTAAAACTGAAACCAAACAGTCTGTAAGCGGTGTGCAGCAAATACAAAAATAATCTATTATTTCAGATTCATGACTGCTGCAAAGACAGTGGTCCTTTTAAAGTGTCGTTTCATGAGCTGACCAATCATCGCACTGATGAAGTCATTGGAATCAGCTTGGGAACTCCGCCCTCTGGCAACCTGGGCAGGTGTCCACACTTTAGCTAATTTGACACATTTCAACATTTCATTCTGTCAGCAGATCTGATTCAAAAGTCAGTTTAACCAAATGATAACCTTTACCTGGCCGCTAGGCAAAATTCCCCTGACAGGCGATAATAGTTTGATCGTAGTTTTGTTTTTGTTTATTGAGGTTTTGATTTAATTTTCCTCCTTCAATTCCACAGAGGTTTTAGTAAGACCCAGAAACTAAGACCTAAAAAGTGTAAGCTTTTGATCTTAAAACACTATGAAATGACAAGCTGTATTCAAATCAAACACATATATATATATGTATACATATTAACATATGTTTAAGATTTAATTTATATATATGTTCCACTGCAAATAAGATATTGTTCTCTTCCACTGAAGTTGAGATCTTATGGGACCTTTTACCACTGTATGATTACTTAAAAACAAATGTTCTTGTGATTTGAAAATGATTTTGGAAGTGTTTTGGCTTATTGAAAACCACATATTTTATATCACTGCTTATAATTAGACTCAATTACTGTAAATGTTCTTTCCTCCAAGCAGCCATTGATTATAGGGCCCTATAAAAGTCACCTGCAGTGACTGAAAGCACTTTTAGGAGCACACTTATGGTTTCAGTAAAGAGAGACACAGCTGACAAAGACACAAACTATTTTATTAGCCATCATTCATGATACTGGTTTCACAAAAAATGTAATTCAAACAATGTTTCATTATTTTTTACATTACAAAGAAAATAAACTATTTCTATGTCCCAACATTTACCATTATTTCAATTGCTAGATATTTTAATATAAATATTATAGCAATATATAACATATTATATATATGAGCATAACACATGTAGATACATCATTCTTAAAACACCAACTGAGAGCCACTAATTGAGGCGATACTGCTAAAATAGGGAGGTAGAAGTAATGATTTAGACTGGAGTAAAAGAGTATAGTAAAATATACACATTTAAATTGAAAAAGGAAATAATTTAGAACTGTACATAGAGAGAAGGAAGATGGAAAGAAGGATAGAGGAAAGAAAGAAAAAGCTGAGTTTGAGGCCGAGGCAGAGAGCCAGCTCGTTCTTCTGGATCTTTCCGTCTCCGTTGATGTCGCAGTGACCCATCAGAGCTTTCCTGAACTTGTCCAGGTCTGTGCCACTGATGCTGGGCTGGAGGAGAGTGTGAAGTAAAAACTTCTTTGCAGCAATGTTGAGCGCATCATCAAATGAGGGAAACTGGATTCGCCTGTCAATACACTGATATTTATTGAGAGACAGACAATTACATACGGCCGGGAACTCATCCTAGTTTCACACTGTCCTTGTGCTCCACCAAGGTAATCTCTGCCCCAAAAGCCACAAAACATCTAACCAACACGAGGAGAGGCGGGCTCCCAGAAAGCCCGCGTATAATCAATAGCCGATGCGAGACAATGGTCTGCTTGTCTCAAAGAGATGCTGCCAGGTCAACCCCCCACGGACATAGGAGAAGCGTTTGACCTGTGACCTCAACCTATAGAGGAGTCTCTGACTGACTACAAGCAGATGTTTGCAGTATCACAGATTCTATAAAACAATAAGAAACTCTATAAACAGATCAGATGAAAATATTCTCTTACAGATTCACTCTTTTTATCAATCTATTGATAACCAATTAACATTAGTCTAAGAATATTTCAGTCAATACTTAAAATCAATAAGCGTCTTCAGAGTTGGGTGGGCTCAGATACATTCATTACATTAAAAATAGAACAAGATTGAAAAACATTTCAATCACCCTGATTGAACACAGTCAATCATAATAAAAATCATCTCTCTTCAGTGTTTGGCATCTTTTGTCAAAAAGCACAATAATAAACACATGAAATACAACAATATTATAGCAAAATATATGTTTCAAAAATAAGATATTTTATCATTTATCACTCAGTTAATCTCATTCATCAAACACAAATTCTAAATCATCTTACATCTCAAAGATTTACTTTAAGGCAATTACTTATTAAAAACACAATTAGAATTTAGGATTTATAATAAATCCAATTGAGGTATTAAATCAGAATCATGAGAGATCCAGCTAAGGTTCCTAGTTAAGGTATACATTCACAGTGATGAATCGATCAATCTGTAATCTGTAAAGTTACAGTGTCCTCAATCTTTAACATTACTTTACGTTTACTTCATTACGCTTTATTCAAGAGTAAGGCATGATATTTAATTAATTACATTACTTCAACTATCAATCATTATGTCATTTCAAAATCTGAAGGGAAAACTAAACAATTCTCAAAATGTTTAACAATCTGAAGAATCAAACGTTTTATTGTATAACGACCTGAAAAGGAAAAAATCAAAACATCTGTTCTTTATTCAGAGCATCAACTGTAATCAATATCAAAACATCTGTTCTTTATTCAGAGCATCAACTGTAATCAATATCAAAACATCTGTTCTTTATTCAGAGCATCAACTGTAATCAATATCAAAACATCTGTTCTTTATTCAGAGCATCAACTGTAATCAATATCAAAACATCTGTTCTTACCTGGTAATGATTAAGGATAGTAACATTGTCTGTTATAATATTAGAAATATCTTATTGTCCAATACCTTATAAATCTGAAAATATCAATTAATTAATTAGTTTAGTGTGAAAGTGTAATCTGATAAAATATATTTATCACCACTATTTAACACATATCTGTTCATTGGGAATACAAAAACAATCATTAATTGTACATCTGTAATCATCTGGTCATTCAATTCAAATGTTATCTTTGTACGAGAGCTAGAAGACATGTTTTCCTCCTCTCTTTATGACACAGAATGTCTGGTGTGTAAAGGCATCCTGATACTGTAGATTAGCACTGAGGTGCTGATTGGCTCAAAACTCTTCTTCATCAGAGCGCCATAACTCAATTATCTGTAGATTAGCACTGAGGTGCTGATTGGCTCAAAACTCTTCTTCATCAGAGCGCCATATCTCAATCCCCCCCAATTGCTCTGCTTTTGTGGCTCAATTCAGTGAGCACTTTATGATCTCCCAGTGAAACAGAGGCTCATCTGCCTGCATTCCTTCTGCTATCTGCTTGAGAGCAGTGCACCTGCCTATTCCAAGTGGCACATCCAGATGCCCCCCCCCCCTGTGATGGGAGAGGTTATGAAAACATCTGCTCCTCCAAGAAACATGAAAACCTTGTATGACGACCTCTGAAACCATCGCTCGTCCTGCGAGCGAAAATGAAGAAGCATCCCATCTCATCAGAAAGTTGAAGATTAGAATCCTCTCATCTCGAACGACCTCCTTGCCCGTGGATAAGTTGCTCTCTGCAGCCGCAGAGTGTGATCCTCTCTCTCTGACCCTTGGCCTTCAGAGCTCTCCTAGTTATTGGGTTAACACTTGATAGGGATGTTTTCCTGTTTGCAGACAACTCAAGGTAATGGATTAGCACATTATCATTCAATTACAAAAATAGGATAGGCCCCCTCAGAATGATTTGGGAGCCTTCCTGAGACATGCACATTATAAATGTAAGGTTTGTGTTAGTCATTTAACATGCAAGAATCATATACTCATCAGTCCAAAGCAGAGAAATGTTATTTTAAGTTAAATGTGAGCTAGTCCCTGTGGAATAACCCTTTCTCAATGATTCTAAATGTTATATTAATTCACCATTTACCGTTTGATCAAGGATTAGTTTATCAGAAGTACATTTCCTCTTCCATAAAACATAGGTTTGAGAAATGAATGTTCCAATATGAAATCAATTTCTCAATTTCTCAATATAATTTGACTCTTCCCCTCTTTTCTTACATATTGTCACATATGAAATAATAACTCAGGAGTCTATTTAAGCATGGTATTGTCTATATAAGCTATTAATCGAGAAAACTCAGAGTGAGTATGCAACTCGCAAATATCTCTCCTCCTTCCTATCCCTCTTTACTCACTTTCCCATCTCTTTCTCTCTTATTTCTGTTAGATATGAAGGAAAAACATACAAGTCCATGTAAGCATCTGAGTTACCACCGTTACCAAACGGTGTGCCGTGAGGCAAGTCCGGGTGTGCCGTGGGATTTTGTGACAACCATACATTATTTTTTCAATATACAACTACACAAAAATAATCATTTATTTTTCAATTTACTATATCAGTACTTTGTAGGTTTATGTACGTAATCTGCGCGACTTGCGCGTCCACATCTCCACGTGCAGTGCTGCATAAACATGGCTGAGTCAGCGATAACTATCGAGGGGTGGAGGTATGCCCATTATTTTGTATATCACGCAGTCTATTCTTCTTCTCTGTCTTCCGGTTGTTGCCTGTATTAAATGACAAATACACACTACCGCCATGGATTTGATATGAACGAGGTGGCAGTTAGCAGCTAGCGGCTAGCTAGTAATGATGTAGTGATATCGGTAATATTAACTCCATTTAATACAACATTTACGGTACAAGATTCAATCATACAGCCCATGTAGTATGACAATGAATTACAGCAAACATGTGCAATATATCCATTATTACAGCTCCGTGGGATGGCAGTAAGACGATATGGATCCGTTCCCATTGTGCATCCATGGGTAAAGATAAACGCAACTCACATTGGTTCCTCATACAGCATCTCTGTAAACTACGTGTATTCACTGAATTTCACTCTCTGCCTTTAACGCTCGTTGTAGCTCCAAAAGCTCCAGCCAGAGCCTGGCTCCAGCACCCTCCCTGTGAGCACAGTGTGCTCTGATTGGTCGGGACACGTAACATGAACGTGCCGGGCTGCGCGGTCCCGTGGATTAGATGCGCGTTCATAATGCAGAGGGAAATAACTCTCAGAATAACGTTATTAGCAAATGTTTTACAACTTGAGGAACGAATGTTTTTTAATAAGGGCTATACAAGTGTTCATACTGGGTAGTTTATTTAGTTAAAAAAATTATCCAACGAGTTACAGACCACTCTTTCCCCATGTAAGTCAATGGGAAAAGTGTTTTCGGGCCTGGCAACCAAACCGGAAGTGTAGTACCGCCGTTTGGCCAGCACGAATATTTTCATCTGAGTCCGGCGCACTACCTGGGGGCTTGACTACCGCCGCCTGCTGGTAAGGAAAGTTATTGCCACTCACGCATGCGCAGTTTGTACG